ATACTACAATACATTTGTGTAGAAAAAGTAAAATGCATATTTATCTCTAATACATATGTAAAAAGGAAGATTTAAAAAAAAGCAACAATAAGAAGAAAATTCGAATCTGCTTTGATTAAATTTGCAAATTTGTTTCGCATAGTGTGAATAAAGTTGTTGCTATTGTTATTTTTTATTTATTTAAATTTTTTTTGTTAGGGAATGGCTAGTGTTCACCCTACAGACTTGAATTCGAAAAAATTTGCGTCGCAATAAGCGAATTTATTTGAATACCGAACTTACCTTACCACAGTCACACAGAAATACATACATATTTGTAGATACATACCCACGCATATATACATACGTATGTACAACAAATCTTGCATTTTTATACCTTTTTTTTTTGGTTTTTTGTTGTTGTAAATAAGCGTATATATGTAAATAAGCGTATGCATGTAAATGAGTGGTTTGGGTGAGTCTTTTTGCGCTGTATATACCCTATTTCTTCGTGTAGTATTATTCACACATTTTATTAGCGCTTTATATTTTTTCTTCTTCTTGCAACTATATGCATACACACACATACACTTAAATATTCACTTGAGAATGCTGCTCAGCGCCACAAACCCGGCTTGAATGGCAAATGTCGCTGTCGTTAAGTTTAGAAATTAGCGTCGCAATTGCTTTTGACGGTTGCGCTGACTCACCTAGCCGGCTGCATGACCGCCTGTAAGGGCGTCAGGTGAGAAAGTCAAGTTAAAATGCCGGCTTTTCGCTGTAGTTATGTTTACACACGTATTATTTGCTGTATTTTCTCCAGCTATTGAGATTTTTTTTTTGTTTTCTGTCGCGATCTTAAGCCCTTTGTTATAGTGGTTATTTTTTGCAATTTTGAATTGAAATTCAAAGCAGATCGTTTTATTATACTAACGCTAATTGTCGAGCCTATGTAGTCGGCTTCTAGAACGTTATCATAGGCATTTTTATATACTTTTTATATAAAATAGAAAGCTAGTTATTTATATACTGTCTGTATATACGTATGTATCTTCACGAAATTTATCATAGATTGTTGTTGGCAACACTCCAATCTTCGAATTTATTGTTTAGATCGGACAACTATAGCATATACATATATGTACATTGATCGTTGGAAATTAAGTTCTTGTATGCAAAACTTTTTTATTAGTGAAGGGTATTATTGCGTCGGTGCAACCGAAGTTAACGTTTTTTCTTGTTTATATTTAGAATTTTCAAAGTTCACTCTTTGTTGTATATTTTGTGGTTTTTATAATTTAATGAATATGCATGAAGACGACTATTAATTGTGTAAAGAATTTGTACCACCTTAATAAGCTTTTAATAAATTCAACAGACTTGAATGCCTATAAAAAGTTACCAGTTTAATAAATAAGTGGTGTAGAAAGTGAGCATCTTTTCCTTTTTAGTGCTTTTAAATGGCTACTTATATTCTTTATTTATTTTTAATGATTATTTTACAGCTAGTTTTTAACTTAAGTAAAAAAAAAGAAATATATTTTGCTCTCTTTACATTTTCAATTTTTATTTTATTTTTATTTAATATTTTATATTTATTTTATATATATATATTTTATACTTTTTTGTTTTAAATATTTTCTATCTTTACTTTTTTCTTTTTAATTTTCCTTTATTCCTTTGTTTTCTTTTTTTACTCTTTCCTTGCCACTTGACGTCCAACGAACTGCGTAATTTAATTTATAATCATAGCACATAATTTAAAAGCAAGCACAAAAACAACAAACAAACTCACATCACATGAATAATGAAACCAGAAATATTGTAAGATCGTTGCATGCATACATACTTGTACATATACATATGTATATGCATGTTTGCTGTAAATGTAAAGTTCACTGCTGGACAACGACTGCGATCAGCTACAATAATAGCAACAAAAATTAAATATTGACTACAATGTTGTTATTTTGTTTAATGCGCTTTTTAAATGCAACCATGCGTAGATATGCGCGCGTACCGATTTGTACATATGTACATGCATAATTACATACTACATACTATTATTACAAAGCACTTCTTAATTTATTTCTCTTTTTGTAGTTTTTCGCGCTGCCGGCAAATTAGCGGGTTTATTTGTTTGTTATTCTTAATGTTTATTATTTGTGCCGGCTTTTTGCCGTTGCAACGCCTTTACATCACATGATTAATGTTTGCTTTTTCAATGTTACAAAGTTATGTGCATTCCATTAAAGTATGAGTTTTACTAAGGAACAAGAAATTATTCTGTTGAGAATATTTTTGTAATCACATCATCATCAGTGCAAGCATTGGAGTTTTTAATTAAATTTGCACGTAATTTAATCATATTTATTTCTGTAAACTTCTGGTATTCATATTTTTTTTTGCATATAAACTTATTAAAAAAATCTAAATTTTAATATATATTTTGGTTTATCTAATACTTTATTTAATTTAATTTTTTTTATTTTATTATTTATATTTTATAATTTATATTTTATTTAAAAATATCTTTGAGTAATTTGTTTTATAATATTTTATTCAGTTTATAATCAATTTATTATTCTTTAATTTTTATGTTTCTAAGCATATTTTTTATTTATACGTTTTTTTAATATTTTGCTTTTGATTGTTCATTTTTATATTTTTTTATTGTTTTTTAATTATATGTTAATTGTTTATTAAAAATTTTAATTTATTTCTTTTTAATTTTTTTGAATTTTTTTTTAAATTTATTTAATTTTTCAACTTCTATTCAAAAGAAAAAATCTTAGGTTTATGTAATCAGTTATAACGCTTATTCAGCGAAAAAATTGCAGAAGCGGTGAATTTTAAATACCAAGTGTGGTTAAAGCGTTCCCATCACGAAAGCTCATATCGATATTGTGATTAAGTTATTTTTGAAAAATTAATGCTTTTTCGTTTTATTTGCTAATAATCCCACAGGAATGTTTACACAGTCGGCAAGTCTAGGCTATTCATACTTAAACTGCGTTGTGGATTTGTTAAAAATAATTGCACATACATATGGTATGCCTTGCAAGCTCATGCGGTTCTTCTATTGTACAATATCTTCATTTTTTCCATAAATGAAATTGTAAAAATACAGAAGTCGAGATAAAAGCAAATGTCCAAGTCGAGAGTGATTAAATTTATAGGCGTTTTGTAGCAGATAAAAAAAGTGCGTACGTGTGTATGCACATGTTTCTATACTTTAACAAAACTACATACGCATACAAATATGTATATGCAAAATAAAAAAATATAAACTTTTTTGTTTTTCAGAGATAAATAAGTTGCTGCGTATCAATTTGTTTTTATCTTGTGTACACATAGACATATCAACATATCCATACAGACACATACGTATTTATGTGTAAAATTCAATTAATTGTTCTAAATAAGCGCACGAGCCATAAGAAAAGCGTATAAACCGGCAAAGTGCGTCAATAGTAGCAAAACGACGCAACGTTTCCACTTTTATTTTTATTTTATCTTTGTAATTTAATTTGGCAATAAAGATTTATTTTTTTAGTTTTTTTTTTTTTGTTGCAGCGCTTATAAATGTATGCATGCACATATGTATTTATTTTTTTCTTTTATTTTTTTTTTTCGTTTTGCACTGTTAAGTATTTCAATTGCGTATAAGTTCACGTTATTTTGTTGAACAAAAAAATGTGAATGAGGCGAAATTCATTAAAATTCACTTGGGTTTTTCGTGTAGACAGCGCCAACTGCGTGTTTTATAATAATTATATAATAATTAATTTTTAAAAAATTTTTTTTTTAAATACATTTTTTTTTAAATTAATTTTATAATAATTTTTTTGAAAAAATTTTTTTAATAATTTTTTTAAATTAATTTTTTAATAATACTTTTTTTTGCTTTTAAAAATTTGTTAATATATTATAAAGTATTTATAATAAAAATAATTTTATTTGATTTCGAAAATAATTATTTTTAATACACTTACACAAAAGCCATAAATAAAAATTCAATTTCCTTTAGATTTCATGCTTCGTGTCTTACAAACTCGCATTTTTTCATAAAAATTTCATACAAAACGTTTTTTAAGTAATGTGTAATACATTAACTCTATAAAATTATACATTTAACGCATTTATTGTTGAATCGTCTTTTTTTTGTTAATTAACTTTGTTAAGAATATTGAAGTACCATTTTTGTAAACTTATTTACGGTTATTTCAAACTAATACTAACATTATCACAGTTATTTAAAGTATTATCGCCAATTTAGTGAACAGTTAGGCGGCAGCAAATGTGAAATTGAAACGTGATATTTGTTATTTGTGAATTTGTTAATAAAAAGAAAATATTTAGCAGAATATATAAAAAACTAAAAAGCTTAAAAAAAAACTAAAAAAATTTAAACAATTGGTCAAAAAAATATAATTTTTCAAAAACTCGTAAACCAATTGTTTATATAAAATTTCTACACTAAACTACTGCAAGAAAAGTGAAATTTCGCATATTGCATTGAAGAATTGCATACAAAGAATATAAGAATATAAACAGAAATTCGACCGTAATTTCATTTTCAGCTAAACAAACTTGTATACTGCGCCGTGGCTTGCCTTGTCTGCTCACAAAATTCCTTGTCGATCATTTGCCTTCCTATAAAGTCTTCGCATTTCAGTTGCAAGTGAAATTGCACTCATTTTATTGTTGTAAATGTGTTATAAATGTTTTTCTACGAAATTGCAAACATCCTCGCCCGCGCAATGCGCTATAAAAGTTGACGCGTAATGCATTACAACAAACGTGTATATGTATATCTAGACACATACTTTTAGCTATAAGATATTTTTATTTTGATAACACGTTGCTCTGCGTACACCAATACATATATATACATATGTATATTGTATATTTAATTGGTTTAAAGTTGAGAAAAAAAAATACAATAATTAAATTAAACACATTCTTAATAATTCACCTATAATTATTTGTGTTTCTTATTTTTTTGTTTTGTTCTACAGGCGGCCATAATGAAATCACACGCTATAGCAGCGAAGATGTTTCGGGCAACGAGTCCAGCGAGGCGCCGAAAATGACGGAAATCGAACGTCAGGCGGAACTCAATCGCCACAAGGAGGAAATGCAAAAGAAGCGACGCAAGAAGAAACGCACCAGTTCCTCTTTGCATTCGTCAACATTTCAAGGTGAGACATTGTTGTTATTATTATTGTGGAGATTTTAATTAATAAAATGATTTAAATAACTCAGCTGCTTTCACGTATTATAATAATAAAAATTTGTTAATTTTTTCTATAACTTAAGAAAGTAATTATAATTTTTTTTTTATAAATTATAGAAGACGCCTATTTAATTCAATTTATTTTTAAAATGCTGAAAAATATATTTTATTGAAACTCATATATTTATTTGTCTGTGGATTGTTTGCGCAAGTGAATTGGTGGTCCATAACCATTATGGAGAAGACATAAAATAATTAATAAATATTAATTGATTTTATATTATTTTAAGATATTCAGATGCTATAAAATGCAAAATTTTACTTTTTTACATACAAAATCAGTTATAAAAAGCTCTCACATACAGCCCGAATAGGCTTAACATGACTTAACGGGGTTAACTGATGTTTCTATTTATCCTTCGTTCAATTCATGTGGCCCCTATTTTCCATATAGCTTTCAAACGGTCATAAATTGTTTGTTGTGCAACATTTAACATGGCTGCCATTTGCTTTTGACTCAAAGTATCATCTTCATCCAAAACTGCTAGCAGTTTGGCGTCTTCAAATTTGTTTGGTAGTCTTCCACGTTGTTCTTTTCTCACATCAACATCATTCACCGTTTTTTGCATGTTGCTTCTGATAGAGCATGATCACCATATGCCTCGACAAGCATTCGTTGCGACTCTGCATCACTTTTCTTCAAATGGAAACAAAAAAGATAATAGTGTGGCAAGGCTTCTAGTTTAGTTTAATCTCTTAATTAATTAATTAATTTAATTATCCTAAAACCATGTTTTCTATACAAGCATACTTATTTATTTGAAAGAAACTTAATTACAAAAATTTATTTTAAAATAAAAAATCTATTACGGCTAGTGTTGGCTTAATTTTTCGTCTACACCAGCTGTTGTCCATTAGCTGACGTCTAAAATGTCAGCAATATTTAAATATAATATAATACCCTTAAATTGAATACGTCTACATTTAAGCGCTGACGCCGCAATTTTTTGCTTAAAATAAACAATTACTATATATGTTTAAGCTCATTTTAGATTAAAATTTAATATTTTAAAATTAAATGCGCAGCAGCACACAATTTCCATGCCATGCACTGAGTTTTTCTTACTCACCACGTTCCTAATAGAGCACTAAACCCGCCGCTACATAATATGTATGCCTGTATACCTGTATGTGTTTACCGGTCGGTGCTTTACACAATATTTCCGAAATATGTATGCGAGGCTAAAAATACTTTTAAAAGTAAAACAAAGAAACTAAAGATTAAGAATAAAAGGTAGAATACATAGCAAGCTTTTGTTTTCATTAGAGGTGTGCGTGCCTTGGTGAAAATGGCACAAGGTGAATGCATGCGTAATTCGGGCGCTATGTATACAAAGAAAGATTATTGGAAAACTCAAAACTTAAGCACAAAAAAAAGCAAAATGATTAAATCATTGCACTGACACGTGCATAAATTTTCTGCTTTCGTTTTTCCTTTAATTTTCATTTGTTTATTTAATTTTTTTTTGTTTTTGTATTTAGCTGCTGTTTTGCCCAATAAGCGCCAATAACTTATTCAATCAAGTATACGCATTGTTTACATTGTAAACTCTAGCCGGCTATAATTTCTTGTGAAAAGTAAATATGTAAACATATTTTTATGCCGACGCGCAGACAAACGTACAAGCTTAATGCGCTTTTGGGGTGGAGGTTGTTGATCACCACGTCGTGGCGGCAGCGCAGTGTTGTGTTACGTGTGTGACGGCAGACAAGCAGCCAGGCACTTCGTTAATTTGTCAGCCCAGCGCAGCTAACTTTGCAGATCAACCTTATTTACTTATTTATTAAATTAGATAGCCAAATATCAGCGTTTTGCAAGCGAAGCTTTATATAAACATATATATATATATATATATATATATATATATACTATATCAGCACTTGGTGTGCAGCTTGAAATTTGTTTATGTTAAAATAACACACACATATGTTTATTTTGTTTACAGAATTGTATAAACTGACGGGCGAAATCCTTGGCGAAGGCGCTTACGCTTCTGTACAAACATGCGTAAACATCTACACCGATTTGGAGTATGCCGTGAAGGTAATCGATAAAATACCGGGACATGCGCGTGCGCGTGTTTTTCGCGAAGTGGAGACATTCCATCATTGCCAGGGACATCCGGGCATTTTACAATTAATTGAATTTTTCGAGGATGATGAAAAGTTTTTTTTGGTTTTTGAAAAGGTAGGAAACTATAATATCATTTGTTTTATTTTGGAAACTTCAATTTACACGCAAATACTATTTGCAGATTAATGGCGGCCCACTGTTGAGACGCATTCAGGAGCAGATTTGTTTCTCAGAACACGAGGCAGCGCAGATTATCAAGGAAATTGCATCCGGTTTGGATTTTCTGCACAAGAAAGGCATTGCGCATCGTGATCTGAAGCCGGAAAATATTTTATGCGTCTATCCGGACAAATTGTGCCCGATTAAGATATGCGATTTCGATTTGGGATCGGGCATTAAATTCACCACAGACGTCTCATCGCCATCGGCAACACCACAACTGCTAACACCAGTGAGTAACCAGTCAGAAAAAATTTTATAAGAATTCGCTTTAAAAAAAAAAATAATTAAATGAAAAAATTATAAACATTTGTAATGTTGCTCTTGCAGGTCGGCAGCGCAGAATTTATGGCGCCCGAAGTTGTTGATCTATTCGTTGGCGAGGCAAATTACTATGATAAGCGTTGTGATCTGTGGTCACTTGGTGTTATCGCATATATTTTATTGTGCGGCTATCCACCATTTTCGGGCAATTGTGAAGAGGATTGCGGCTGGAATCGCGGCGAGAATTGTCGCACCTGTCAGGAGTTGCTCTTCGAGTCCATACAAGAAGGTAAGCTGCTATTTTTGTAAAAAAAAATTTTTTTTTTTTCAAAGTGTGCATAAAAAATTAGTAGAAATACAACTTGCTTACATATTCACTAAGTTGTTGCCTTCTTTTTAAGGACGTTTTTCCTTTCCCGAGGCTGAGTGGGAGGATGTAAGCGAGGAGGCCAAAGATTTGATACGTGGTCTACTTGTCAAGGAAGCGCCAAAGCGTCTAAGTGCTGAAGCAGTGCTAAACCATTCGTGGATCAAGTTTTCGGAGGAAGAGTCTCCGAATGATATTAAGAAAATGGAGAATCGGCGAAAGGCGCTACGCACACCTGGCAATATAAGGCGGTAAGTTGCGTTAAGAGAAATAAATATTTATGCTATTTAATTTTTAAATTATATTTACCTTTTATCACCTTCTATTGCTTAGCAATCAATCAGCGCGCGAGATATCGCGATTCGCCGAGTCGGCAATGGCTGTGAAACGCGTGATACTGCAACACTTTTCCATGCGTTATGACTACATGAAAGAGCGCCCGAACATCTATCAGCCGTCGCAATTGCAAGTAGACGCCCAGAATAGCGGCGCCGGCGCGGACAGCAACAACAGTCCACCCATATTTATAAAGCCACCACCACCACGTAGTCGCTCCATGAATAACACGCTGAGCGTCAGCAATAATCGTTCGATCTATGGCGGTCGTAATAGCAATCTTTATGCTACACGCCATTCGAGTCGTTTAGGCAGCAGCATTAATGGCGGCAAAGCGTCGAGCATCTATCAATCGGGTGCACCATCGTTCAAAACACTAAACGTACACCAAGAGGACGACGACGATGAGGCGCTGGAAGCATTTGGACGGCTCGATGAAGATGAAGAGTGGGCACATGTGGGAGAGCATCAGAACGGATACTTTTCCGCCGCTAATGAAGACGATTTAAAAGCGGAAGTGGAAGCCAGACGTAGGCAAATGGGAGATAATGCTGGAGATGAGAGTGACTACGAGAGTTATCCACATCTTTGGCGTGTTATGGACAATGAGGATGAGGAGGAGGAGTGTGAGTTAGGTGATGAGGTGGAAGCAACCAGCACAAATAGGCCATATGAACAGGATGGCGAGTGCAGTGATAATAATACGCCCCATGACTATAACGATTACACCAGACGTCCAAAATACTATCTAGATGATAATAACGAAGACGGAGAGATGGAGCTCAAAGTGGTCGAAGAGTTGGAGGACAAAAATCGTTGTCGTCATGGTGATTATGGTGATAATGCTATTACTAGTGATGCGGAGGATAGTTCCTGTGTTAGGAGTGGTGACGAAGGCAGTAAGACAACATTACTACAGGGTGCCATGCAAATTAAGGAGGGAGAGAGATCAGCCGAAGCTGAAACTGCTCTCCAGTTAAGTTTTAATAGATTACCTAATAATGAGAGTAAGGTTAATGATGAGAACATGGAGAACGCAGAGTGGAAGAGGAGGAGCGTTGATCAGGAGCGAATGTTTGAAGTTAATGATTATGTTAATGTTGATCATAATAAGGTTAAGGTTAATGATGAATTTGAAGAAAAAGTTGCAGATGAGGCAAATAATTCATTTGCAAAGGCAGAAATTGATGAACATGTTTTCAAGTTGGAGGAGGAAGAAAATATCGAAAAGCAAAATAAACAACAGCAAATAGATTTTGCTAACGAAACGAAAATGAATTTCAATGAAAATTCAAAAACAAATTTCAAAACTTATTATAACATCCAAGATAATAATATTGAAACGAAGAAGAATGCAAGCGGCAACAAAGCAAATGATTTGTTGCTGGACGCTGGACAAAACCAACTTCCAATAAGTGATATTAATTATATAACAATCACCAATTTAAATACAACAACAATCGCAGTTAATGCAACCAAAACAAATCACACCACCAACGACAACAAGAATAGTAATGTTTCGAATATGGAAACAGAAACCAAAACAAATATAGCAAACAAAATCATAAAAGATGCAGATAATGTTACAACAACAACAAAAGAAAATGCTATATTATTGGCTAGTATTAGTGATTTGAAAGATACGCTACCTGAACTTAATGAGACTGCAAACATTGTTGTCACCACGCCAATAAACGGAGTCGCTGCCGAAAATGCAGCATTCAATGGAAAAAGCGGAAAATCTGCAACGCCTGCCGACAACATAATTGATGAAGAGAACGGAGGAAAAGTTGTCGCAACGGATGGGAATGAAGATGAGCTGGTGACTTCCAAGAAACGGGTGGCAACAATGCGAACGACTTTTGGAAATCAACAACAACAAACACAAAAACAGCTAAAACAGCAGCAGAAGCAGCCGCCAAAGCAAAATCAAAAGAAGCAGCAGCTACAACAACAAACACAACAACAACAACCACAAAATCAAAAACAAAAACAACAAACTTTGATAAAATCAAAGCGGTCGCCACGCGCGAACAAAACACCGCGTAACGTCTGCTTTGCGCTGGGCAACAACAGCGGTCGCCATGCTGGCGGCGTTGACGACGTTTACGATGCATATCAGAACAATTATGACGCCGAGTTAGAGGACGATGCCGATGAAGACGACGTCGTTTACGGCAGACCACGTTCGCACAGCAACAACATCAACGCAACTGGTTATGCACGTCGTCAGCAACCATACAACAACAATCATCGACGCTACTCACAGCCAACAGCCGGCGTCAATAAGCAGCAAGAACAGCAACAGTCGTCCGGACAGAAAGCCGAAAATTGGCGCAATCGCGGTGGTATTCTAATAAATGGCAACAATGCCGGCAACAGCAACGGAGACTCATCGAACAGCACCGGTTTAAGTGCCACGGTTGCAGCAAATAATTACCGCAACAAGTATCGTTCACAAGGTGGTGTCAATTCGCCCGGCTGGAATGTGGGCGGCGCTCAACGTAATGGCGGCCACTACTACAATGCCCGCTCCGGCGGTGGCAGTTACAGTCACGTCGGCGTAAGTGGTGCCTCGCCACCGTCCGATGACAGCGGCAGCGGTTCTGCAAGTGCCATACATAACTGGCGTAACGATTGCATCTATACGGGTGCGCGTAATTGTGGAATGCAACAGCGACGCAACTACCAGCAACCCATACACGATGGCAACGGCGGCAGCATTATGCGCGCGCATTTCAACCGAAACAATCAATATCAGCCGCGCATCGGTTCAGGACGTTTCACGCATTCACCAACCGGCAATATGTATGTACCGCAGTCGCGCGGCAGTGCCGTCAGCGGCATATATAATAGCGGCCACGGTTTTGGTTTGGGTGGCGGCGGCGGCGGCGGCGGCAGTAGCAGTGGTTCACCACCATCGGCTGGTGAGCTGGACATTGGACTCTCACCGCCGAGCGAGAGTTTGTTAATGCAGCGACGTATGCGTGTAGTAGCAGGCGCTGGGCGGCATCGCAATAATGACTTCGGTGTGGGCGATTTCTGCCAATCGGCAACGGCTAACGGTTAATAAGCGAAAAGTTTACTACATTCACATCCATAAATACACACATAAATATAACACAAAACAAAATAACATTCATAGAAATTGAAGCAACGCTCGTTTCACGAACGTTTTGTTGCTCTTAAAACGAAACCAACTCGATTTCATTTATGTATACTTATTCAAAAATCTAAAAACTATGTAACTGTAGGTGTGTGTGTGTGAGTGCAACAAGTGCGTAATGCGTTTTTCTTTTTAAGTAAATGTGGGCAACCAGTAGTTTGTCAATTAAAAGCGAAAGCCGGCGCGTGCTTTGAAACACTTTTTAATCGCCCGCAATTACTGCTTGTTTGTTGACTCTCTACTTTCGATAGTGTTGCCCTCAGTACATTTAAAAACTAAAATTCACATGCATACTGTAACACCTCGCACACTTTTTGCGCTCACACATTCACCCACACAAAAATTCTGAACCTATTCGGTTTTTTAATATCACTTATGTATTTCAAAATCTACGAAAGATAACCTACTTTTTTGTACTACTCGTAATAATTTAATTTTCTTCTTTGTGTAACGGACAGCTTGTTTGTTGAGCCTGTTTATCTCTAAAGCGCACATGCCGCGCATTTCGTTTAAAAGTTAAAAAGTAGCTTTGCGTAAAAGCTAACGAAAGCTCGTAAGGCTTGACGCATGACTCAAAATAATATGAAATAAGTTGCAATATGTTGGCAATAGTTAAAACATATATTTTTTCCCCCCGATTTTAATTAGTTACAAGTTAATGTCAGCAATTTTGCTTACAATTAGTTTTCTTTTATCCATACACCACTCTCTGTCGCGCTCAACATCACACTGTTCGAAATTCCAAATACACATAATTTAGACGTAATTACTACATTAATACTATTATCTCAAAATTTTGTCTTATTTTCTGATACAAATGTTTATTTTCCAATGTGTTTAATTTTTATATATATCTTATATTATTTCAAAGACTTTTCGTAACGACTGTTAAATGTAAACCAAAAAAACAAAAAAAAAAGAAAAGAAACGCCAACACCAGAGCAAAAACAAAAGAAGCACACATGTCAAATTTTGTTGTAAGATGATTAATAAGGATGTTGATGTTAAATACGCTATGGCTGTTACGATGGGAAAACAATGGCTTTTTGGCTCGCTTATGTAATGTGTATTATGAACGAAAATGAGAATATACAAAATAAATTGTTCATATGTACGAACACCACACACTCAACACATCTGCCACTGTGCACACTTACTTTTCTTACATAATACACATACACAAAACACACACGTACATAACCAAAACAAAGAAGAAAATACAAAAACAAAAAAAAATTGGTATGACAGTGAAAAAGCGAAGAAAAAACACTTACACCATCGTACAATACAACAAGTCGTTCACTTTTTTTTATAAAAAAAGATATGATAATTCATATAATTTTTAATAATTATAAAACAAAACTTTTTTGCATAAAAGAAAATCAAAAAAAAAAACAGCACTGAGTTTGATTCTTTGATAACTAATGTTAATTGTATTGTAACTTTACTCTTGTTGCGCAGCAGAGAAAGCTGTGGCTTACGAAGAGCAAAAATTGCTAGTTACAGTTGTGTTGGCAGAAAAAGCAGCAGCTGCAACTATAAAATAATATATACCAATTTTAATTACATGCAATTTTTTCCTTTGCATATTGAATAGCTATATATTCTTTAGTTCAAAAATGTGTTTTTTTTTTCAAACAAAACGAAATTGATAAAAAATTAGAAAATAACTATTTGTAACTTCCCGTCCCAGACGTGTAAGCATTGCAGGTTTAAGTAAAAACAAACCAAAAAAAAACATGGTTGAGCGCAGCATTTTCCTTAATAATTTGCGTTGTGCAAAGAGTTGAGCGCCTAAGCATATATGTACATATACATATACATATGTATGCATTTTTACATAGAAAAGTATATACCATATATGCTAATTTTGAAATTAAAAATATCTGAAGCTTATTGTACTGTAGTATGTATTGTACTCTTGTTGTTTTTGAAAAGGCCGGCGTCTTGATTTCAGTGACAACAATCGGCTACTTTTAAAAATTTTCAAATAAGTCCCAGAAACAAACAGAAAACTCGTTGATCTGGCGGAGCCTCACTAAAACTGCGAATGTTATGTTAGGTCATGAAAACGCTCTGGCACTTGATGACATTGACTAAATTAGTTTTGTTTAAATCAAAATTCGAAATACTTTTTCGGCTTCATTTTACGATTTACATGATTTCGATGAGGCTATAGAAATAATTTTCAATAAACAGGAAATTTATTTCCTATATATAGATAAATAGTCTTGCTGCCAACATCTAATCATATAATTTTTTTTTTAAACTCTTAGCATTCCTTTAAAGCCGATTTATTTCAAAAGCACCAACAATGGTTATTTTTCATAAGTACTTTATACATATACTTGTACATATATTGGATCGGTAAGTGAGTTGAACTTGAACGAAAATTTTGCTTCCAATGATTTGGATGTAATTTGTTTCGATCGAATCGGAAAGTTTTTCGATTGAAATGGATTCACTGATCAGCTCCATTATTCTTGTAATGGTGGCTTTTGGAACACTCAAGCAGAGAATGCTTATGAATACTATATTCTTTCATTCTCTGACTCAATCACGAATCATGTGTGGCCTTTGTGATATGCTAATATTTCGTACAATTATTTAATAAAGTAGCATTTTAGGCGTTTGTGCAACGCTGGTAGTTTCGAACTGTAGAACATGCAACCAGAGAACGTAGAAATGAATTCATTTACGTTCTCTGAATATATTAAGCTTGTAGGCGCTCAAATTCTTATTATATTGAAATTATTAATAATGTGTTGCCTACAATTAGGCGCTCATAAAAATGTAATCTGCAACGGAAACTCGTTAACCGCAGCGATCTTATAGAGGGCAAAATGTAACAATTACGGAAGTTTCTTTATTAAGTTGGCCGAAGTTGTAAAAGCTCTTTGGCAGAAATGGTTAATATTTATAGCGTAGCAGTCTACTTAGAAGGTAAAACTGCGAAAGTTAAGTGATAAAAATTGGTTACTTTATAAATGAAAACAAAAACAAAAAGAACAACTCTTGTTTTACATAATAAAAGCGTGGAAATATTTGTATTGCGCTCAGTTTTTGATGCCAAAGTTGTTGTATTTAAAGCATGAGAGAATAGGATAACTGGGTACGAAAGCAAGCTGTGAACGCGATTTTGTCAGTAAAACACACACACACACACATACAAGTGTGGCTTAGAAACGAAATGGAGAGCGAACGGACCGACCCATTTGCAGCTTGCGTCTGCCTTGGTTTTTCTCATTGAAATATTAACTTATTTTATAAATGTATTAGTCTTCTACTATTACACATTTTCTGTTATGAAAAACAAAAACAAAAGAATGTTGAACATTTCGAAATTTCGAAAACAAATATTATGCAAACAAAAAGTGCAAAAAAGAAACCGAAGCGATGTTGCTACATATTGTAGTAAAGCGTACGTGAAAATTCCATTTAAACATGAAACCAACACCATACATACATACATATATACGAAAAACGTAGCAACATTTATACTACATATAAACATACACACACATACCATACAACGGCATAACAAAAAACGATTACTACACAACGCGCTTACACAAATCACTAATTCAAAAACAAAAACAAAAACACATACAAAAAAATACAAAAACAAAAAAAACTTATAAAAGTTAAAAGCAAAAAAAAAAAAAAACAACCAAACTCCCTCTCAAAACAAACATTTTTATATAAACTATATATATTTTTGCAAATCAGTGAGAAGAAGAAGAAGAGTAAGATGATGATAAAGAATAGCTGGTGATAATGCCAAACAGAAGGCGAAAGTAGTTCTAGCAAGCGTGTTAGAGGCGAGCGAAAAGTTAATATGCTGAGTACATTTGTTAAGAACCGAATGCTGATTGAGAGCACTGAATCTATGTACGCACTTATGTAATAACAACGCTACATTATGCAACTTTGTCAAAATTGAAAAAAAAAATAACAAAAAATAAAAACACACTTTGTTGTAAAGCGGCGCAACGTTAGTGCGCAAGCGTGGCGAATTATTCGTATATGGTGTAATGAGGCGATCAGATGAGAGCGTGCATGAATGATAGGGAAAAAAACGAATAAACATAAAATAAAACAGAAAGCATGAAAGCTCATAAAAATTATAATAAACAAATAAAAAGGAACTCGAGAATCAAGCAAAGCGACAATTTTGCATTTTATTTCTGCAACTAAAATGATTATTGGCTAATTGCAAAAAAAGGTGAGTAGCAAAGAAAAAACAAACGCGGTATTAAAATGGAATGCAAATGTGAAGATCATTCATTTTATAGCCGCATTAAAAGCATTTTTGTTCTTTCGAAATACTGATCAGCTGCTCAAGTGTAACCTATGTGATCTTCGAGCCGCAAATCGGCCTCATTTTTATACCCTGAACAGGGTATTATATTAAGTTTGCCACGAAGTTTGTAACACCCAGAAGGAAACGTCGGAGACCCTATAAAATATATACATAAATGATCAGCATGATGAGCTGAGTTGATTTAGCCATGTCCGTCTGTCTGTATATATACAAACTAGCCCCTCAGTTTTTATTTTTTCTAACAAAGAAGCTGCTCATTTGTCGGAACGGCCGATATCGGACCACTATAGCATATAGTTGCCATACAAACTGAACAATCGGAATCAAGTTCTTGTAAGGGGCCTTTGTATTTGTGAAGGGTATTATAGCTTCGGGGCAACCGAAGTTAACGTTTTTTCTTGTCTAACCTAAAAAACTACGTTTATTTTAAATTTTAGCCTATTTTAATATAATACTTACTTATATTCATTGTAAGACATTTTCCGAAAATTTCGATATGTGATTAGAGCAACTAATTACTTTCACGGCGAGAATAAATAAATTCTTATACTAATGTAGAATGTGGCGATTTGTGCTTATTTTAAAGGCCCAACTAGCATGACAGTCGAAAAAGACAACTTTTGGGTATTAACCCAAATTTTTGGAATATAAATAGTAAAATTAAAATAAATAAATGTAATATATTTCGAGTTCTACGTGATCTCCAACAGCGCTAAAAAATGTTCAACACTGCTGCAGCGATTCCGGCATTCTGAGTGGATGAAACCTCACCATTTTCTGCTAGAAGATATTGTATGTAAAAGTGACATACGGTCGAAAAAATCAAAAAATTGACAAAATGGCTGCGTTTAAAAAAAAAATTGAATTTATTTTATTGTCATTGAATTTTTAAACAGATCGAAAAACTGCCAGGTAATTGCATGGACAACTAAATGTATACAGAACATGCAGAAAATTTGTGAAAATATGTGTGAAATAGTGATCGCATCACCGAATGATCATCTCCGACTAAAATTTGAAAAATGTAATTTTGAGAAAAACACGTTTAAATATAAACTGATATAATTTCCATTTACTTAACTAATTTGACGACAACAGCTATAATAACTTTCACAAATACAAAGGCTCCTTACAAGCACTTGATTCAGATTGTTCGGTTTGTATGGCAGCTATATGATATAGTAGTCTGATTTTGGCTGTTCCGAATTTCAGATCGATTGCTTAAAAACTGAGGGACTAGCTTGTATATATAATATACATACAGACGGACAGACAGCCATGTCCGTCTTAACCAACTCAGCTTATCATGGTGATCATTTATACATACATTTTACAGGGTCTCCGACGTTTCCTTTTGGGTGTTACAAACTTCGTGGCAAACTTAATATACCCTGTTCAGGGTATAACAACTACATGTGATGAAGTCTGCTGCTCTTCTGCGACAGCTATCAGGTACCGAAACGCCGTTAGTCATAGCAAGTATACATCTTGTGCGGTTCATTTTGCGCCGTTTGTAAATTATTTATATTTTTATAAAAAAAAACTATTTTGGTAACCAACGTTAACAAGTTCTTTATTTTCAATTTAAATCGCGTCTAAATAATTATATTTTTTTACATATTTTGAACACGGAATTTTTGCATATTTTGCAAAAATTTTAATATCTCCAAAGTAAATAAACCTATAATTTTGAAAACATTATATTCTAATGCAAAATATACCAAGTGTTTGCAAAAAAAAAAACAATTTGGGGAAATAATGAACACAGTAACATGCATAAGTATGGTACACATATCCACCATCAGCATGGGCGACACTGCGTATATGTAATAAACGAGTTGAGTTTCTAATGTCACACAGGTAATACTGATTTGGTCTTTATATGGCACACGAATTCACCTTCACTGCTGCTTTTTATAAATAATAAGTAGACATTTCGTTCAACAAACTGTTTTCTGCTTTAATGCTCGTTCAATTTTATGTACATAAATGTTCGTTTAGTTACTTGTTTTAAATACATATTTAAATTAATTACTTTAATAAACATTTTGGATGCTTTTAATGTTAATTTTTTCTTAGAAAATACTTATATTTGGTTTACAGTTGCCAGTCACACAGTTTATATGTATGTATGTATGTATACGAGTACAAGCGATGGCTTGTATGGTTTGTAATATCACTATATGCTACTTATTTTAGCACACATAAATATGTATATATCTATATATATGTATATATGTGTATATTTAATGTAATTATAACTTATATATAAGCATGTATGTATGTATGTATATTTAATTTATAAATACTACCGACTGCACGCTTTCGCTTTGATTTAGCCTTAAATTGGGATTTTCGGTTTGATTAAAGCGTTTTGCCTAAATGACTACTGACTGAATACCAAATGGCACATTTCGTCTGGGATTTTGTGAAAAAAACTTGCCAGCATTAATATCAAAATAAATTATAAAAAATATTAATTGTTAAAGTAAGATATTAGAACTTTTAGTCATTGGTTATTAATCGTTATGAAATTTAAATAAAATAATTTTGCTTAAATCATAAGTCTGCATAATTTTTTGCAGCTGCAGTTTGCTCTCAAAGCAATGTGTTTGAAAATTTTATAACAAATTCGTAACGGAAATATGCTTAAGTTGCTTAAATTTAGCATATGAGGTTAAACATGTTTTAATATCGTCTACTGTTTGCGTACTTTCCTACTATCTTATTTTACATACGAGTATCTATATGTGTGTGTATTGGTAATTGGAGATTGGAACATATGTATTCAAAATATAATACAATGCTAACAAAAATTTTGGCTTATAATATTTACATGAGCTGCTAAAGTTCTACTTACTTCTATTTACTTTTTATTTGCTTATAACTCTCAATGTTTATATGTATTTATGTATGTATGTACATCATTTAATTATTTAAAAATACTATTTACTAAATTTCAATACAATTTAGCTTGCTTTGCCTGCTATGCAATACAAATTCACTTAAATACCTACATGCATATCATACATATGTATGTATGCATACATGCATGTACATATATGTATTTGTTATTTGCCTGTCTGCTAAGGCTCATTGCTTGACTTAGTAGTTGTTGGTGTGCCCATTGCGGTTGTGATTGGTGTATGTGTATGTGTTTATGTTTGTTGATTGTATTGTGTTGTATGATCTTGTTGTTGTTGTGGTTGTTCTTCACCGCTACTCTCGCCTTTCATATGCTCCATTTCAATGTCAGAGCAATTATCCGAATGTGAAAGTGCTGAGTCCATGGAGGTCACCGTGGTATTAACCTCCTTGTCACTGGTGGCATGCGGTGACAGCGGCAATGGTGGCGCCAATAATGGCTTCTCAACAGCCGAACCATGATCGGCTTCAATATCGTCTTTTATTTGATTTTGTACTACGAAGTTATTGCTATTGATGTCTTCAATAGCTTTGCGCAGCTGCAAAAAAAATATTAAGGTAAAAAGTGGAAAAAACTGTGAAAAATCGTGCAATTTAATTGCTTTGCAGACATTTTAGTACCAGAAACTGTCAGAAGCAATCAACTGTCAAAAATAAGCAGCAGTAATTGCTACAGTGACGTCATGTCAGCATAACTGTCAGGTTCTCCGAGAACTTGTTAAGCGCCAAAAGTACGATTTGAGAATTGGAAAAATATTCGAAGAAACAGTAATGCACATATTAAGACTTTGAGACTCTCAAGCTCTAAATGTTTCAATAATAAAGCCGTGTCATTTACTTTTAAGTAATTTAATAGTTTTAGGCGGAGTAAAAAATTTTCAAGGGAATGTTCACGAATTATAGCCTCAAGATTAAGCTTCAGCCACCAATTTATTGACGAAATGCTAAGAAATTCACTAGAAAATTTTGTGCATATAAGCCATACTAATCTTAAGTTAAAGCATCACAACTTTTTACATTTATAAATGTTTATTTTATTTGGTTGAGCAAGAGATCTTAGTGATACATACTTTTAAACTTTTATGAAGACTATTAAGTTGTGCTACTATTATTTATACAGAACAGCAGATAACCATTTTGCAAATTTTGTTTCGTTCCGGCTCTAAAGAATTCGAGGTTTTGAACAACATTCATGGTTTCGGTGCGATGTATCTCTATAAAACTTGAACTTGACGGTTTCAATGGGCAATTCTTTTGTGCAAAAAGTTATTCCAGCAACATTACAGCTAATATGATGCTTTTAACTCACCTCTTTTAGACCCACAACACCCACCAGGCGTCCGATTTTCGTCACATAAGCATGATTTATGCCAACCATTGAGAAAAGCGAATGAACTTTGAGTATCGAAGTGCGTTCGACCAGTTGAAATGGCGAGGGATCGATATTTACACTGGCCTTCTCCAGATCGATTGGTTTAGACATTTCTTCCATTTCCCATTTCTTTTGATCTTCCGGCGACATATCGATTACGCGTTCACGTGGCTAAAGAAAATTTTAAGATTGAAGTGGTTTAAATAATAGAAAATAATAATAATAAAACTATAATAAAATTGATAAAGTAAAATTTAATAAAAATAAATCGTCGGTTTCAATTTAAAATTTTTGTTTGATGTTGCTTTCACTAATTTTGCGATAATTCAGGTTCCAATAGTATAACCATTTATTAGTTAGTATTTATTGCTGATTGCTTATTACAAATACATACACACGCATATATATAGGTATGTATATAGAACACCTACCAGGGTCACCGATTTCGTCTTTTTCATACTCATTGCCTGGTTATTTGTATTTACAGTTGTGTATTTTTTAAGGATAAAAGTGTATACAACGAAGAAGATGTGGCATATAGAAAAGAAAGAATATAGAAAATATATTTAATAAAATTGTGTGAGAGATAAAGTAATACGACAAAAAAAAAACACGAGCACTGGAAGCATATAAGGACGATTAGTATGCAGACGCAAGTATTTTTAAGAAGGACAACAACAAAAACAAAAAACAAATAAAACAAATGTATAAGCATTAAAAATAATAAAATTTGCAATTTTAAATATAAATTTTAGCAAAATAACAAACAGATAAGTATAAATATTTGTAATAAAAATATATCTGAATCATCAAGTAAAACTTAATTTTATACATATATGTATGTGTGTTTTTTTATAAATATGGTCATTCATATAACAAAAACACAATATAGCCTCCGATTTTTCAAAAAAATAAATAGTACATATGATTCCTTAAAAAAACAAAATTTAATAACATTAAATTATTTTACACAGTTTTTTTTACAGCACAATTTTGAAGCTTGCTCTGGTTTGGTTACGGAAAATAGTTGCTGAGCGCTAGATCTGCTAAATATGTTCAGTGTAACTCACTTTTAGCAGCAAAAATATACTGCTTCTATTCGCTTTTTTAATTTTTAATAGGTTTTACTGTGCAATCATACGTCATACATAATAACATAGAGTTGTATTCGTTATTCAATAATTAGACATTCCTTCACTCTATTGGTATATAAACATTCCGTAAAAGATTTATTGCTTTTACTTATGCATGTATGTATATGTGATATATCAACACCGAAAAAAAGTTGTTATACTAATCACGCTCCTCAGCTGTCTATTTACTGAAGTAAACTTTTGATTGTGTTCATTTCTCTCAAGGGTCATTTTAAAAGCGTCTAAACTCAAATATCTTCTTACTCACATCTTGTCTCATACATTACAATTAACGATTATACTTCGAAGTTACAGACAGTTTCATCTTTTTTAGAAAAACTTCTATAAACCCCAAGAACAATATCAGCAAGTGTTTCTATGCACTTACTGGGTAAGTTCGAAAAAGTATTCCCATTGTATCAAAATAACGCTATAAACAACACATCAGCTCTCCCAGGATGGTAAGCGGTGACACATCCGATCAGACAGATCTTATAAGTACTTTGTAAGAAATATACAGCTTTTTCCCGGACGCTTCGAATATCAAAAATGATCTCCAAGAATTAAACAAACTTTATGTGACCGGCATTCTCTTCTTTACTCAACGAAGCAAAACTGAAATTGTGAGATAAACTCATAAAACGACAAGTATTACTCATCGACACTTCTCGAGCAACTCTCGCTCGGCAAACTACTCGGGAGATCTATGAAACTAAAATCTCAAACAAAAACTTAAAGTTCAAAAGGCTGTTAAAGGCACATAACCATATACATATATACAAATATGTATATTCAAACCCCAATTAGCAATCATAACAAAGCTATATATATTATATTTAGTAAGGATAAATATATAAAACACTCGTAAATGTTTTTGAATATTACTAAGTGCTTATTGCGGGAAATTTACCATTTAGCGCTAAATTTTTTGCAAATCTCTAGCCACGCCTACATATGAGTAAACCAGTACTAAAAGGTAGATATTTTTTTACTTTTGGCTCATCCTTATTTGCTGTAGCATGGCTGTTATCCATTAAGGTATGCCATTTGATTGCGTTTGTTCGGTTATTGGAACAATCTGTCGTTGAGTGTGACTTTCGGAGTATTCCTTTTTTCGGCGGTGGTGGCAGCATCGTGTGATCCCATCTTGTGTTCGCTAACTTCATTTTGACTTTGGCATGGACTGGCGATGAGCTTAAACTTCGCGGGCGCTTATGGTTTTCGGAAATTTCGAAATGAACAGTTATTATTTTTGAAATGATGAGTTATTTGCATTTTCATGAGGTTGGTGTAAATTCAAATTTGAATTAGCATAAAAATTTTAATACTACTAATCAACGCATTGCAACAACCTCTCAACTTTTGTTATTACTTACGATGCAGTTATTTTTCTTAAATTTCTTCGATGGAGCCGGAGAATTGGGCGCTAGTTGCGACTTTAAGTGGAGAAATACAAATTGAACTTAAAAATTAAGTTGTCTACAAGTCGATATTTTTATTTACTTACAAATCTATTGCTTTTTATGCTATCCGGCGTATCCGGAGTTGTCGGCTTGGAAGCAAACGATAAATATTTTAAAAATATATATGAACACTACAATAAATTCACTATGTTTTTTATAAACATTTTTTTTTGTACTTAAAGGAAAATAATTATATAATTTAAAATTTATGTTTAGAAAAAAAAAATACTTAAAAGGTTTTAACCTGTCGCCTGCCACAGTCGATAACCTCATTTTACTTTTGACTGTCAGAGCTATTTCCATAAATATATCGATACATCTTGAAATCAGCATCACTACCGTAAACAATGTCAGCCTGGCAAGGCAACGTCTTTCAACTTTGGAATGAATAACGAACTCATTTTGTTGATAAAACGGTTGGATCTACCATAGTTAAAGTAATAGACCTAGATTAATAACCGACAAGAAACTGTCAGCTCAGCAGCATCGCTTTAAAACTATTTGTCAACAGGTAGTGCTTTAAGTTGAAAGAGTTTTTAACAGATTTGGAATGGAGTAAAACATCGTACGAAATAAGAATATTTTTGAGATCTTGTCTGGGGTTTCTCCAAATTTCAACTCTGAATTTCGATTCTTTATTATTCATTCCTCAACAAGCATTTGGGTTTACACAGAGTTTTGATATCATTAAGAATAATATATCTACTATGCTTTTTTTACGCTGTATCTCATCTCCAGCCTTATAACAATTAATAGTCAAAACTATCTAAAATGCACTCCTAATATACAAACATATGAATACTTTACCTTATGCGCGTGGTCCGCAGACTCCGTAGTATTTTGTGCTTGCTTGTACGGAAGAAGTAAACACAAAGGAAGGCAGTGTAAGAAGACTTACCGAATAATGTTCAATACAAAAACAAATTCTCTTAAAATAAGGAAAACCTTGCAACAAAGCACATATAACCCAACCAGCAACAAAAAACAAAAAACAGCACACAAAAAATATTGTAGCAGTTTTACATACCAATTGAACCTTCTTCGAAATACTGGGTGCGCGCTGTACGAGTGGCACTTCGTTGGCGCTCACCGCCGGCGTTATGCTGGCAGCATCCGGATCCGGTTGGACATCCTGCAGTGTGTTCGATTTGCGAAAAATCGCTTCGAAGGCGGAGCGTATGCGATGTTCAGTGCCAGTTATGGTGGTATAGGGGGTAATGTTCGGGCTGTGCGGTGAGGTAGGTGCGTAAGTTTTTAGATTAAATGAGTTTGTCTTTTTCAAAATGGATTTGCGTGGTCCCACGTTGTTATTGAAGGATTCCTGACGTTGTTTTGGCGGCAGCATTTCATCGTTGGCAATTTGACGTAGGCTGAGTATATCGGGTGCGGGCAGTACTTCGAAACGTGACGGACGACGAACTTTTAATTCGGCCTCCTGCTTTTTCTTCTCTTCTTCTCGCGCTCTAAGAAAGTGACAGATCGCAGATATGTAGTTGCATGAATGTGTCTCAAAATATATGCAACGGTTTTACTTACCGCTCTTCGGCCTCCTTTTGCCACTTTTGTGCCACCTCCATGCGTTTCTCGCGTCCGATATGCTTCTCGATCATTTTGATCAATTCATAACGTTGCACAGAGCCGAGCAGTATCATATTCTCGTGACTATCGACCAGCGGTAGAGATCGTAGCGTTTTGTTCGCCTTCAGCACTTCCTTGAGTTTTTGATACGAAATGCCATGCCAGATGTATTTCACATCTCGTACCATAAAATCCTCCACATAAATGCTGTACATCGCCGAACTGGATGGCAGCAAATCGGGCAGATACGGCAGCTTCTTAATCAATATAATACTGTCGTACATGGACGGTTGTAGAAGGGCTGCAATGGCGTTCGCTATTAACACTGCGATCATCACCGGTACAACGTGCGTTATCTGGCCGGTCATCTCGAAAATGATTACCGCTACCGAAACGGTATGCGTCACGGCGCCGGAAAATGCCGCCGCACCAACAACTGCGTAACCGCCGGGTATGATGGGCGATAGGCGACCGCCGTAGCGCACGCCGTTCGGGAACCACAAATGCATGCTCTCGCCAATTAGACGACCCAGACTGGCGCCGATTTTAAATACGGGTATGAAAATGCCCGAAGGTACTGGTATGGTTGAGGCTACAATTGAAATGAAAAACTATTTCAGGTAGAGAAAGAGAGAGAGAGAGAGAAGAGCGCAAATTGAGTAATACTGTATAAGAGTTGGGCGTTCCAATCACTTACAGTGAACACAATGTATATGGAAAGATTGATGAATATGTTGGTGTAACTGGTGACCCAATGCGTAACTATGGCCGCCTGCTCCACGGTGAGATCGTCACGTGACCACGTGAAATTGCTAAATAATTGCGTGACTTGTTCGTGTGTGCTCAGTTCGCCAGCGATAAATTGACCGGGTCCTAATGGAAATGAGAGTGTAGAGACAAGCAGCGCCAGAAAGCCCGGATAGAGAAAGCGACTGTGTGGATGGAAGTTTTCAAAAACACATTTTCATTATTTCTTCCATATAATATATGCGAGATGTGTGAAATACTTACTTCTTTTGCAGAAATTTGTTCATCTTCTTATTTGAACGCATGAAGAGTACATAACGGCGATGTACCCAAACATAGGCGGCGCCACCAATACCGGAGACAACACTGTGTCGAAAAAAATAAAGAAAGTTAGTATATAAGTAAAATAATTGTACAGAAAGTAGAACTACAACAAAAATGCGTTAACGTAGTTTAAAAATAATGTTCCTGACCACGAAACCGCTTATTACAAGTAGAATCCTCAATTGAAAGATAAATTCATACTTTGTCATAGCAACCCTGAAAAAAAAGTTAGTAACGCTACATATGTTACCTCTCTTTAGCAAGCTAAGCTAAGCTAAGTTTAGTTAGAATTGCCACTTTTCGGATAAAACTAACTTTGAGTTCTAGTCTCTATAGTGTTTGAAAAGTTTTTCAAATCAGTTCACTTGATGCATTAATGTCTTTATCAGGAAAGCCTTGAATGTTAGTATATGAATACTTCCTTTAACATGTACCAATAGTTCTAGAACAAGCGCTAAGTGAAAGCATTAAATCTGAAACTATGGTTTTGCATATATAGCCATAGATGACACAACGCCATACTACTTTCAATAGTTCGGTTATTTGTCATTTATCTTATTTAGCAACTTGTAAAACTATACTGACTAAATTTTAAAAAGGAATCCGCCATTTTCAAGTAAAAGTTATATTTCGGGACACATTTCCATTCATTTAAGTAAACATTTATTAAAATTAATATACTGTTTGTTTCTCTGAGACCTCCAACTACGATTTTAAAATCTCCAAGCTTAAATCTACGCATGCTTTTCTAAAGCATCTTTGTTTTTCCAGTAGATCACATCTTATACTCACCCCATTAGCGCAAATACGAACAACTCCTGCGGATCGAAAGGAAATTCGGTGGTGAAATTTGTGAGAAATATCGCACGCACTGTATCCGCATTGTGGAACCAAACAGCCAAAAGACGAAACACCGTTGCACCGCAAACAGCCGCGAAGAAGCCACGCCAATAATTACGCACAGCAAAATAAGTGGTCGTTACCTCAATACTGAAAAGTACACCTACGAGAGCGATAGCGATATATGGCAAAACAAATTCGAGAGAAGTTATGTGCTTAAACGCGGTCTACTTACCACCGACGGGTGCGGCAAAACACGAACCCACACCGACCGCACAAGCTGCGGCCAACATCTCCGAATTGCGAGACTCATTCTCATAGATGCCTTGGAATGATGTGACGAGTTTACTTAATAATTGTGCTACAATACTTGCTATGTGACAGAAAGGACCCTACGAGCGAGCGCAAACAAAACAAGCGTTAAGATACGGCATGAAGTAGAGAAAATAAAGAAGTGTGATTAAGTGATTTTACCGATTATATGATTGCTTATATGTTTCGAAGTATTTTTCGTAATTGAATTCGTGAGTATTGTTTGCCGTCAACTACATACTCGTACTATACTTTATGTATATACGTACGTAGGCACGTAGTCGACGTTGCACTCTTTACAGTTGTGACAATTTTGATACTTACTTCCTTTCCTAATGGCATACCACTGCCCAAAGTTGCCGTTAAACCAACAACCTTGGCCACCAATGTCTTAAATGTGAGATACTCTTTCAGCGCAACGCCACGAAGAATCGTTTTCATTTCAGGTATACCCGAACCTAAAATTATATACACATAGATGTTTCGTTTTAAAGGGATATCCAGTGAAATGAAGAGGTTATTAAATTCAGAAAATTAGTTCCGTTAATTTGTGCATGCAGTTGAAGGAATATATTCCTATTTTCATTAAAAATTTGTAATGGTTTTAGTTACATAGCAAACCTTATTTAAGAGTATAAACATTAATGTACACAGTTTTATTTAAATAAAAGCCAAGTATCGTGCAGTTAAGGCAACTTCGTGTAACAGCAGTAAAAAATACTATCAATATTTTCGGTGTGCGGTGAAAGCTCAGAACTTAACACTATTGAAAATTTTTGTATTGTAGTTACAGTTAGACTTAAAATACTGATTTTTAATTTAAGGAATATTATTTATTTTAAAAATAAGTTATATATTGCTGACACTATATACACTATGATAATTTCTTTTAAGAAAAGCTTTTAAGCTCAAATATGTACTAAGATGTTTGGAAAGCTTACTAATATCTGACAATAGGCAAACAAATCTCTAAAAATACTTTTGCAAAGTTTTTTTTGAACCATCTAAATCTGCTGATAAGCTGTCTTCGATTCGACAAGTGTTAGAGAGTAAAGAATTATATCAGATGTTCCAACAGACTAGCAGCCTAGAAAGCGAAAATTGCGCTTAGTTGCTGTCACTGATTCAATTGCTTGGAAGCACTGACCTATTTGACAGTTAGCGAGAAAGAAAAAAAGGAAAGGAAGACGGCTTTGCAGTTTAATTCGTTTTGACAGTATCAAAAGTCAACGTATATACATAGTTTGGTTAAAATTCCCCGCAAACGTTATTTAAACTTAGAGTTCCGAAAAATATATCAAAATATATAAAAAAGAAGTAAGGCCATGGTTTAGGTTATTTAGAACATATAAGTGTTTTGAAATATTAAATTTTTTTTTTGTATTGAGCTTTAAAAGTTAATTTTGAAAATCCTTTGTGATTAATATATACATCTACACATATTTAGGCCTCATATAGGATATCTAGATTTTTCAACTAATTTTAATTATGTATATTTTTCTGTAGTATGGAAACCGAAAAATATCCAAGAAATACATTAAAAATCTCAAAACTTATTTCTTTTCTTAGTGGCGCCACTGTCAAATGTTATAAAAAATTTGAACTTTGACAGCGCGTACAAGTACATGTATGGATATATGGTATTATACCAATTTTCGACACAAGGGCACACTGTTATCGAAAATCGAAAAATATTTTCACCTTATGTCAATAAAATATCTCAGAGATTGACCGATATTTTCGGTAAAATGTCATCCAAAGATACTGGGATCCACATATTCGATATCTGGGGACTTGAATAATTATGGTCCGGTTTTGACAATATTTATATATTATTTAAACTATATAACAGCAATTCTTAGACATTTTCTATATATATATTAGAAAAAGATCACTTCCAAATATCAGTGGTAGATCACTCAAAGAGATCAAATATAAGTGATAGACCTTATTTTTTGTTAAAACTTCATGCCTTCTCTCGTGGCAGGCAATATTGAACAGCCGCATATATTTTTGGCATAAAAAATGCTCATAAAGCAAGAAAAATTATTCTTTAAATAATTTTTGAAGCAATGGATGTGTCATCAATTACTTTAATATTTACATTTACAAAGTAACAACAACACGTAAATAGAGGTGTTAAACTCGCAACGGACGTGCAAATGATTTATGCACATTGCATTACATAGATGTACATAATATGTATGTTATGTAAGTATGCATATAAAAATATACATATAGCATACTATATATAGACGTTTGCCTACTGCTTGACCCATAAGTGGCACAAATAAATGTGCAAATTGTGAGTATAATAAACATATTCACTATTAACACTTTATTTAGTTTTTGCTTGCACTCTGGCAATACGCCATTGCAACGTGTTGGGGGAAAACATCCATACTTATTTGCATATAAAGATAAAATTGTGCAAATTTTCGTATAAATTATACAAACATTTGTCTACAAAAATCTATTTCAATCATTGTAGGTGCTTAAGTGGTTAAGAATACACAAGTAACAATAATTGCTTATTTACTAGCTTATTTATTTTTAATTTATGAAAAAATACTATTGTATTAGTATTATACTGAATATAGAACATTATAAATTATTAAAATTAAATTACTATTGTTTGAATACGTATTACTATTTCTTATGAACTAGTCTGCCTGAGGTGGTAATTTTGCCGATAAAAACAACCATCCTTCCACAAATGTCGATGGGCTTTTTCATAGAAATTTCATACTGTTGAGAATTACGATGTTACAGATACAAAAATTAAAAATAGTTGAGACATTTTTGTTCGAAAACAGCTTCTAAACATTTAAAACGCTTGATTTGGGGCTAAAAATGATTTTACAAGATGAAGCTTCGACAAAGGAAGCTTCGGCCAACTCGATTATTAAGTTAAACAACGCAGGATGCAAATAAAACCGGACTATTTTCTTACTATTCAGAAAACTGATAAGTATGTTTAGCCCTTTCAGAGCTGTGCCGAGGTATCTACAATAAAAGTCTTTTAGAAAGTAAGACTTCTAAATAATTCTCGTATGCGATTATGAAGAAGATGTATGCAACTTCAGAGTGTTATGCTGCAATTTGGCAAGATGGTATTACGGGCCATTTTATTTATTAAAGAGATGCTGGGACATGAGATTTGTGGCCTTAAAATTGTAGACTTGAACGATTTTTGTTACAAAATAACGGCACAAGATGTCTTATATGTTACCTCGTTATGATTTTCTCTTACTTAGAAATTAATAATAACTTTGCCGATTTTTTTGGAATGTATGAACAATGTAAATAATTTTACAAGGGCTTGGTCGTCGTTTATACATATAATATATATATCTATATATTCCCATAGTGCCGAGGTGAAACATAGGGCCTCAATATGCGTATATATGTACTTATATGCATGTAGTAAAGTGAAAAACAATTTAAGCTAATTTCTACACTTTTTAATTTTGAAAAAATTGGCGAATACTTCTAAGTGTTTATATCAATTTTGTGTTAGTAAAAATTCCATCACAGAATATGTAACTCCTTGAAAATAATTTTTTGTACGCTTACTTTTGTTAGTTACACCATTGAAGTAAAGTAAGTAAGTACGAAAATCTAACAAATATATTTAAATGTGAAATTATATTATGTGTGAAAACGCGGTAGGAATATATAATTAAACAAAATACGCAAAAAGTCAACACTAGCAATATACAGTTATTTATCGGCATACACTTAATAGGCATCTACAAAATAATTTAATAACGAATATTTACTTTACTTCAATGAAACTAATAATAAACAACACATGCAACAAAATATTATATGTAAAAAAATGTAGGAAAATCAGTTGTGCATTTCTGCACTATTTGTTGAATATAATATTATAAATATTTATTGCAGTTAGATAAAGTTTCAAAAGCCCCTTATAAGCTTAACTACGCTATTTGTAAAGACAGTACAATAATGAGAGATAAATGGAATAATATAAAATAAAATAAAGTAAATTATAATAACAAAAAAAATTAAAATAAAATAGAACTAAGTTAAATTAAATTAAATTAAATACACTATAATAAAATAGAATAAAATAAAATAGAATAATGTAAAATAAAATAATATAATAAAAAAAAATAAAGTAAAATGAAATAAAAATACAATAAAATGAAATAATATAAAATAAAGTATAAAAACAAACAGACATCAAATACAATAATGCAAATCAAAATAAAAACAAAAATAATATATTAAAAAAAACGAATAAAATAAAACTGAAGGAAATTTTTACAATCCATCTTTAAAGCTATAAAACTGTCTAGTGCATAAAAAAAAAATAATATAAAAAAAAATTTAAATATTAAAGTATTATTGATGTTATGTCTACATACAAATGCATGTACATATATTTGCATTAGTAACGGTGGCTTGCTAAATAAATATTTATATAAATACTACCAGATATTGATTTAAGTCATATACAAGTCATTGTTAACATATTCAGTGTCCATTATTTTGCATAAGCAAATATTTGACAACTCACCTATACTCTGCGGCGCAACTAGATGCACAAAGCCGGCTGAGAAGAGTATCAAACAAACCGGCAATGAGACCCACGCGAAATACTGTGTGATCGGCTGGGATGTGAGATCGCGATAGAGCCACACGCGCGCTAAACAATAATAGAACAATTATTGCTATTGCAAAATACAGTAAAAATTTCAAAATAATAAATTAGAAAACCCACCATTTGTACAAACATTGATGCCTTTGTCCACCACATATGATACAAATGCCATTATGACACCTAACAGCGCTAAGAATACCCAATCTTCGCCGAGGCGCGCAAATGTACGTTTCCATATCCATGATGAGACTTTTAGCATGCGCGACGAACGTTTGCCCAGCAATTCCTGTAAATATTTCCCAGCACTGCTGCTTTATAAACGATTCGTTCAAATTTGGATAAATACATACAAATACTAGTGACTACACAAGGGTTAATGGATGGGTGCAGTTAGCGCCTATGCTTAGGCAGCATAATTTATAATAAATTTACTGTTACCATGTTTGGATTTATATAAATATATGCGTGATTAAATAAATATGTACAGAATGTGCTAGATTTTATGCATTTAAATTAAATAATTATTTAAAAAAATGTTTTTTAGCAATAATATGTTTAAAAAAATGCTATTTGATAGTTAATAGTAGTAGTAGTACAATTAATGCAAAAATGTATTGCAGTATAAAGGAGAAATATACGGTCATTCCAGAAAATATAATTATAATATTCATTTTTTTGAAAAATCTCCAAAACTTTCTGGTTTAAAAAAAATATATATATTGTTTTGTATGCGTGCAAAATATCTTAAAACTTTTAATGTTGAAAATAAAAATAAAACATTGCCTAATATAGCGTAACGAACTGAGTCGACTGTGCCTTCTCGCGTACTACTTCCTCAATTTTGAAGATAAATCTCTATTTATACTCTTTTTATGCTATAAGAAATACATCTGTCAAGGGCCGAAGTTAAGGTTTTGCTTTTTATGAAAATGTGAAAGAGTAGAGTTTTTCTGTAATAAACTCTGTGTATTCTAATTCAATGATTAGCAACCAAGTGACATTGATATTAATCAGTTGGTCAGTTGGTAAAAATATACAAAGATACCGATAAATACATTTTTTGTAAGAATTCTGAACACTGGGATGCTGGTCTTATAAATAAATAAGGCAACAAAAATAACGTTAAACGTAACCGTAAACGCTGCAAGACCGTTTAATTGATTCAATTGTCGCTTAAAACAATGTATGGGAGATCAGTTCTTATAACCACTATTTCTGTATACTTGTAGAAGAGAACTCATTATTTAGATATTGGACATGACGTGTAAATTATTGGTTGTGAGATCAGCTTTTTCGGGTTTATGAGCAGGATACATTTAAATTTCAACCAACAGATAGAACATTTATTTTTATTGTCAGGACCTAATACATTTTTCAGTCAAAAGCCCATCTAAAAGTAACGGGACAAAATTGTCGTAATGTGTATTTCTAGTAAGAAAAGGCATGTCATATAGTAGATTCGCCGTTTGGAAATGCCTTACAAGTGTTAGATCGCTCAATATGTCGGATAACTTTATCACCCATACCACCAACGCAATAAACTATGCGGGCACTAGGAATTTTTTAGTAAAATTTAAATCTTTACAACTGCGAAAATTGTAAACTCACATGCAATTATAACAAGCTGTTTCTACTGTAATCTATTTAACATATTGTAGTATTGAGCACATTTGTAATTCAAATATTTATTTAAAATAACTTTACCTTAAAAAAATCACATTCCCGTAAATTTATTCTCATTCATTTGTAGCAATTTCGCGCGCAATTATTGCGTTAGAAGTGTTTTAAAAATATTTTTGTTGCATGCAATTAAAGCATTTAAGTGCAATTAATAGAAACATTTATTTGAGCGTGAAAGATTTTCTTGTTTGTTTACCTTGTTTCTTTGTTTGTCTTCTTGCTTTCTGCGTTTCTCGAGTAATTTGAGTTTTCTGGCTTCATCTTTGGCGAATTCTCCTAAATCTTTGGTATAGCGGCCATACATCTGTGTTCAAAAAAAAAAAAACAGACATTTATTAGTTTGATTTTGATATTTGATTGTAAATTAATATTTATGTTTTGAGTTTTAAAATTTTTGAAAATATATAGCATTGCAATATATAATAATAATTGTATTAAATCTAATATGTAGTTATTGATAATAACCATGCTGAGGAGAAGTATACTTAAACGATCTCATATTGTTGTCATGTTCAACAAGTATTTAGACTTTTCCAATTAATGCGTTAATTGAGCCAAGGTTTAAAATTTAAATCACAACTAAGCGATTTAAATTTAATAATTTAACTTAAAGTAAGTTGAGCCATATTTTCCATGCAACCCTGTTAAATATATAAGTTTTTGCTTTAAAGTACCATACTTTATACACATTTCATAAAGTATATCAAATTGAGTCAATTAACAAATTATATGTAGGAAAAATGGTGTCATTTTATATTAAGAAACTGCTCTAAAAGTGCTAATGATCAGCTGTTTTGCTTAATTTTCTTTTCAGATTTTCATTTGTTTTTTACGGTGAAAAACAAAGAGAAAATAAAAGTATTGCAATATCCCTAGTTAATCGCTAATTGAGTCAACTAGGTCAATATAACAATGAATGAAATTGATCGAAATAAATGACGTTGTCAATAATCGCACGGTCAAACTATGGTAAAGGTTCTTTGTAGTTTTATCTTAGTCCACAGTGGGGATTAACTAAACCAACTTAGCTGACTATATAACGAAACGCGACGAGTTCTAATAACAATATCAAAATTTTTGAATTTAAACTAGAAGTCTAAATGAATTTCCCTTTTTATATTGGGGTTGCCTTGGCTTAATCTCACAAAAGCAGCTTGTTGAAGTTTTGAACCATTTGAGAATAACCATTCGATATATGAGACTTTTTTTACATAAAATATATGAAATTTGATGTTTTGAAGGATCTGTTGTTCATAGTAGTATCATGTATATAGACTTGAAACGAATTCCCATAGTGTGTGAGGAGTTCATGCTTTAACGCATTTATGAATATAGAATTACATTAGTACACAGAAGAAAAAAGAAAGAGAGCATGTCTTCTCATTTCCCAGATTGTTACGAAAATAAAAATAATGAAAATTTCTTAAAATGATTTGCTTGCTTTACATATACTGCCTAGAGTCGCTCATGGTCGGGCTGTTTCAAAGTGTATGGCACACATTTTTCGGTCTCACTTGAAGGTTGCGTTTTTCTTTTGTCACTCAAATAAGCGGGAATACAAAGATGCCATTCGCTCTTTATCTCTCTTGTTTGTTTCTTTTGTTTTTAATGTTTTTACTTCAATAATATTATTTACCGCTAGCTAGACTTGCTGCTAGACGAAAATCTATTTTTACCACGTGTGCATAAAATATTGGCAACACTTCATGTTTATTTGGTGCCGTTGGCGACGATCAAAAACAAAACAAAACAGAAAATATAGTAAAAAAAAATAAATAAAACAAAACAATGCAAACAAAGTCAAGAGCAAAATATTATTACTAAAAATACAAATATGTATACAGTGGCGTGCAAACAAAGATTACCTGCATATAATTTGTAGAAATTTAATTAATTACACCGTGTAACATTGTAAATATTATTTTTAGTTTAAAGTAAAATTGAATATATTTGCTTACACCGTGTGCATAGGCACCTAAATAATATTTGTATGAGCGATAAGTTAAAACTGCTCATACAACTGCGTTTATACTTTAAAGGTTACTCATACGCCCCTACCAACCATATACGACTATGGTTCACCACTAAGTTAAAATCAATCAAATGCTTTGTTTTAAGCATCAAAAATTGTTACTTATAAAGAATTAAATAAATTTTGTTTATTTGCTAAAACTATCTCGAAGTATTTGCTTGAGAAATGACTTCAACAAAACTCTTTTAAAATTTTTAAATTTTAAAAATAAGTTTACATGTTGTATCATTAGGCAGAAAATAATAAAGGTAATAAAAAGGCTATAATAATAATAATTTAACAGTGCATTTTCTTTTGTTCACTAATATTGAAGTTTTATACATTTGCCTCAAATCTATTATATATTAATAAATAAAAACTAAAAATAAATTTTATTATTATTTTAATATTCTGAAATTAAAACGCGAAACTTTTTTATTTCCTTTAATTTTTGCCTTAATAAAACTAAGCAAATCGAACTAGAAACCGCATTTTATGGAGCTAAAATTTTGCTGAAGTAAACAACAAACAACACATAACGCAATTAAAACGGTAATTAGCAAATTTACAAATGTGGCCGACAAGTGTAACTATTACTACATAAACAACCATTAACCAGCCGCTTCAACCCGCCACCTGTGCTGCAGTAGTGCAATAACAAAAACATCGCGTTGCAGCCATAATCGCTGCGAAGCGTTGAAAGAAGCTGCATTAAATGGGAGGCATAAATAATTTGTCGTAAAATGAAATTAGCTGAATTGCCAATTAAATTAAGAAAGTGTGTGTTAGTGCATTTGTAAGAGTTGATGAAGTGGCGGATAAGTGTGTGGTGAGTGTAAGTAAGTGCGCTACACGTAAGCGCAAACCCAACTATGTATATATGACTATAATATTGCGGTGAGAGCTAGAAAGGCATTGGGAAAGCAGTTGTTTATAAAGCACAGCCGCTGAATGGCCAATGTATTACGTAAAAATTTGTAAATATATTCATATATATTACTCACAAAACACGGAATTCCTACGAAGCCAATTATGTGGGATTGGGAATAAGTAAGTAATTAAAACCTACGTAACTATATAAAATTATAATTATTTAAAAAATTTAAAAAGTTATACATTTTAATTAAATGAAAATAAATAAAACAAAATAAAAACAAGTAGGGAAGGGCTAAGTTCGGATGTAACCGAACATTGTATACTCTCGCAAAGTCAAATGGTATACTCGTTTGAGATTTCTTTGTGGATTGACTGATATTTTCGGTAGAAGGTCAACTATAGGCAGTGGGGTCCACATATTTAGTACTTAAGGGTTTGAACAGTTTTGGTTCGATTTAGACCATTTCTGGTAACAAGGTGGCATACTTTAATCGCATTATTCACGCAAAGTTTTATCCCGATACAGTCATTGTTACCTGATTTGCATAGTGGAATGTGAAAGAATCAGATGGAATTGAAAATGGTGTTACATGGGAAGTAAGCGTGGTTGTAGTCCGATTTCGCCCATTTTCGCACTATGACATAGAAACATAAAAAGAACGCTATGCACCGAATTTGGTTGAAATTGGTGAAGCATATCCTAAGATATGGGTTTTTACCTAAAAGTGGGCGGTGACACGCCCACTGACTAATTTTGAACGCGGTTCCTATAAAGTCAATTTATACCATCTCAGAGATAAAATTTAATGTTTCTGGCGTGTTTAGTGCTTGATTTATCGCGCTTTTAGTAGTTTTAAACAGTACCGTTATATGGGGAGTGAGCGGAGTTGCCATCCGATTTCAACTATTTTCACACCGTCAATAGAAGTGCTAAAAACATTTGCTTCTAGTGAATTCTGTTATTATAGCATTAGCGGTTTAGGAGATATGCACATTAAACCTAAAAAAAGTTTTAACTGTAGATGCCCCTCCCTAATGTGATCCTGTGTACCAAATAACAGTCTTGTATCTTATTGCGGAGCTTAGTTATGGCAAGTTATTTGTTTTTGATTAATAGCGTTTTGTGGGCGTGGCAGTGGTCCGATTACGCCCATCTGCAATACCAACCGTCTCACGGTACCAAGAAACATGTCTACCAAGTTTCATAAAGATATCTCAATTTTTACTCAAGTTAGAGCTTGCACGGTCGGACGGACGGACGGACGGACGGACAGACAGTCACCCGGATTTCAACTCGTCTCTTCATCCTGATCATTTATATATATATAACCCTATATCTAACTCGATTAGTTTTAGGTGATACAAATAACCGTTAGGTGAACAAAACTATTATACTCTGTAGCAACAGGTTGCGAGAGTATAAAAATAAAGCATATAACAAAGTAAGAATTACATAAAAAACAATGCAATAAAATAATGCTAAAATAAAATAAATTAAAAATAAAATAAAGTTATAATTAAATTTAAATATGCTTTAAAATAAAATATGAAAAATTAAAAAATTAAAACAAAACAAGTTTCTTACTAATGCTACAAAAAATAGTATATATTTACAAAAATTGCTGATGTCATCAAATCCACTCGCTAAGAAAAACTTTCATAATTACAAAACTATTCGACGCTCTTCGAAAAATCGTCATTTCATCACTAACGTTTTGCTATAAGCTAATTTAGACATGTTAATATGTACATAACATTTAGCAACAATGACTGTAATTAAGAGTTGTATAATGCTTTCAATAAGTGCACAGCTGAGTTCGCACGGAGGTATACACTATAGAAAATTAATGTAGACAGAGTAAGCTTCTGATGTATGTATGCATGTGTATATTATGCATCTATACTAATAATTTGTAAAGCAAATTTTTATTAGAGACCCTGGATGCGCATATCTCCATCTTATAGGAAATTGTTTCTTAAAAATTTCCTAAATCCGAACTGTAAGACGTTCAAAACAATATAACAAATTTGGATCTAAAAATACATATGTACATACTTATGTTAACTCTGAGAAATTTAAGTGAATTGTTCGAAAAAAGTATGGATATCGAACGGATATAGTACAAAATTAATTGTTTTTGCTTTTTCGAATAAAGTTGCCATGTATACAAAAAATTTAAAATTAATTAAAGATTTTAATATTTCTATTGCCAAGTCGTCTTAGCATAATACATCTTTTTTATTGTCTAAAGGCAGCTTGAATTTCAAATTATGTTGAGTTAAAGCTGTCAGCTATAGAAAAAAGTTACGCTGAATCGAAAAAAATTGAAATTTTCGTTCCAAATTCTAAAACAAAAAATGGTGCGGTTCGATTGCACCGAACCTTGGTTCCTTACTAGATTCCGATCTAATTTTGT